CACACAGTATGTGAAGGTTGCTCCTCTTCCTCTCTCACTAAATGCATTATTTCCTCTTGTTATAATTTCTCCCTTCCATATCGAATAGAATAGAATAACAGAGTTGGAAGGGACCTTGGAGATCTTCTAGTCCAACCCCCTGCTTATAGGCAGGAAACCTAATTGCATCACACTCCTAAACAAACATCTGCCAGAGGATTGATAGAGAAAATCTTCTGACAAGTATACCAATTATGAATGACAGCAAATATGCATGTCCTAGGATAATGATGAGAGATTGAATCTGTGTCAATCACTGGGATCAGAGATTTACTCTTCCGAGCTTTTGGATTCATGCTGGAATCCATCTTCAGGGAATTTCTCTCTACTGAAATAGGTGCTTTGGGTTCTTCTATGAGTCATGTTTTTTTTTAATTTTAAAAGAAAACTTTATTAGAGATTAAAAAAGAAAAACACTATATACATCAAATACAACTTTACGTTGTAGACAAAATCTATATATACAAATATACAAATAAATAAACATATAAAACATATGCTTCTAATTAACTAAGATGGTGTGCTTTTTTCTTGGTAATGATTTTACTACTATTCATTTCTTATTTGGTAAATATTCTTAATTTAACTACTCCATTCGTCCAAAACATATCCTTTAATTTCCTGGTTTTTTCTCTTTAATCCACTTACCATTTATCCCAAGCTGTAATATATCTTGAGTCTTCCTTATTCCTAAGTTTTTGTGTAAGTCCATTTCAGCGCAGTCAAGTATTTTCTGAGTAATCAAATTATTTGTTGCCATTTTTTCGCCTTTCCAACATTGTGCCAACGCAATTCTTGCCACTGTGATTATATGGAGAATTAAATATTTCATTTCATTTGCATAGTCCCCTTTTAATATTCCCAACAAAAATATTTCAGGATTGAATTCTAATTTAATACCTGTAATTTCTTTTATCCACAGTCTAATTTTTTTCCAATGTTTTTTTACTTTTTAGGCAGAGCCATCAAGTGTGGAAGAAGGTGCCCCTTGTTTGCTTACATTTCCAACACATCGGACTCGTGTTTGGATAAACGTTAGCTAACCTTGAGGGTGACAGATACCACCAGCAACACATTTTATATTGATATTCTTTATAGATCGCCGATTTTGTTATTTTGTAATTTTGATTCCAAATTTTTTCCCAATCTTCCAAATTAATATTGTGCCCTACATGCCTTTCCCATGCAATCATTGGGCCTTTAACTATTTCTTCTGCCATTTCATATTCTAACAGGTAGTTTGAGATTAATTTTTCATCTGTTCCCTCCAATATTTTATCTAATTGATTCGGTTTTTTTCTCAATTCCAAACTCTTCATATGAGTCGTGTTTATATGGTGGCTTTCTATTGGCTGATTGGCATGTTGATGGCTGGTGATTGGCTGTCGTTTCTTGTGCTGCCAAGCCCTTTGCTCCTAAGTATTTGATAAACTGATAGTAATTCAGCACTCCTGTTAACAGACAAGGGGCCCAAAGGTGTTTTTTCAAGAGGCAACTGGACTTTCTGGTCTTTCAATTGAGAAGTTGGAGCTGTGTTTTTTGCAGGATGTTTTCTGCCCTCTGTCCCTTCCCTGTTGAGCACAGGCGAAGGCTGTGTGGGATGAGTCTGTGCTATTTGCATCTCAAACTTAAGTGCACATGGTTCCTGGAGTCTGCAATTTTTCTGAAAATTCGTTCATATTCCCTCATATTTGAAGGCTGTTCATCCCAAACTGCATCTTGAGAGAGTTATCTCTCTCTCTTTCTGTCTCTCTGTGCGTGTGTGTGTGTGTGTGTGTGGGTATAAAATGTGTATATACAGGTGAAACTCAAAAAATTAGAATATTGTTCAAAAGTTCATTTATTTCAGTAATGCAACTTAAAAGGTGAAACTAATATATGAGATAGAGTCATTACATGCAAAGCAAGATAGTTCAAGCTGTCATTTGTCATAATTGAGATGATTATGGCTTACAGTTCATGAAAACCCCAAATGCATAATCTCAGAAAATTAGAATATTGTGAAAAGGTGCAATATTCTAGGCTCAAAGTGTCCCACTCTAATCAGCTAATTAAGCCATAACACCTGCAAAGGGTTCCTGAGCCTTTAAATGGTCTCTCAGTCTGGTTCAGTAGGAAGCACAATCATGGGAAAGACTGCTGACCTGACAGTTGTGCAGAAAACCATCATTGACACCCTCCATAAGGAGGAAAAGCCTCAAAAGGTAATTGCAAAAGAAGTTGGATGTTCTCAAAGTGCTGTACCAAAGCACATTAATAGAAAGTTATGTGGAAGGGAAAAGTGTGGAAGAAAAAGGTGCACAAGCAGCAGGGATAACCTCAGCCTGGAGAGGATTGTCAGGAAAGGGCCATTCAAAAGTGTTGGGGACTTTCACAAAGAGTGGACTGAGGCTGGAGTCAGTGCATCAAGAGCCACCACACACAGACGGATCCTGGACATGGGCTTCAAATGTCGTATTCCTCTTGTCAAGCTGCCCCTGAACAGCAAACAACGTCAGAAGCATCTTACCTGGGCTAAAGAAAAACAAAACTGGTCTGTTGCTCAGTGGTCCAAGGTCCTCTTTTCTGTTGAGAGCAACTTTTGCATCTCATTTGGAAACCAAGGACCCAGAGTCTGAAGGAAGAATGGAGAGGCACACACTGCAAGATGCTTGAAGTCCAGTGTGAAGTTTCCACAGTCTGTGTTGATTTGGGGAGCCATGCCATCTGCTGGTGTTGGTCCACTGTGCTTCATTAAGTCCAGGGTCAACGCAGCCGTCTCCCAGGAGATTTTGGAACACTTCATGCTTTCTTCTGCAGACAAGCTTTATGGGGATGCTGACTTCATTTTCCAGCAGGACTTGGCACCTGCCCACACTGCCAAAAGCACCAAAAACCTGGTTCAATGACCGTGGGATTACTGTGCTTGATTGGTCAGCAAACTCGCCTGACCTGAACCCCATAGAGAATCTATGGGGCATTTCCAGGAGAAAGATGGGAGACATGAGACCAAACAATGCAGAGGAGCTGAAGGCCGCTATTGAAGCATCCTGGTCTTCCACAACACCTCAGCAGTGCCACAGGCTGATAGCTTCCATGCCACGCCGCATTGAGGCAGTAATTGCTGCAAAAGGGGCCCAAACCAAGTACTGAGTACATATGCATGCTTATACTTTTCAGAGGTCCGATATTGTTCTATGTACAATCCTTGTTTTATTGATTGCATGTAATATTCTAATTTTGTGAGATTGTGGATTTGGGGTTTTCATGAGCTGTAAGCCATAATCATTTCAATTATGACAAATCACGAGTTGAACTATCTTGCTCTGCATGTAATGAGTCTATCTCATATATTAGTTTCACCTTTGAAGTTGCATTACTGAAATAAATGAACTTTTGCACGATATTTTGAGTTTCACCTGTATTTGTTATATAAGTGTATGGGTAGATATATACTTTCTTTTGAGAACAGGCAACAGAATTTCATTTTTGATATGTATCAGTGTACTCAAAGTAAAAAAAAATGACAATAAAGTTTATCTTATCTTAATTATCATGGTATAAATAGTTGAATCTATAATTCTATTACAGATGGTCCTCAGTTTCCAACCATTCTTTTACCAACCGTTCAAAGTTAAAATGGCACTGGAAAAAGTGACATATGATCATTTTTTACACTTACGATCGTTGCAGCATCCCCCTGGTCACATGGTCACAATTTCAATGCTTGGCAACTGGTTCATATTTATGACAGTTGCAGTGTCCTAGGATCATGTGATCAGCTTTTGTGACCTTCTGACAAGCAAAGTCAATGGAGGAGCCAGATTCAATTAACAACTATGTAACAATTACAGTGATTCACTTGACAAGTATGGCAAGAAAGGTCGTAAAATAGGAAAAAGCTCACTTAAACAACTGTCTTGGTTAGCACCAGAAATGTTGGGCTCAGCTGTGTTGTAAGTTGAGGACTACCTGTACTGAATTCTATTATTATATTTAGATTCTACTTTTAGTGGAACTATTATATATTGGAATTAAAATTGTGTGAGAGAATATTTTAACAACAGCAACAAAAAACCCCTACCACATTGGCCTAATCAGTCAGAAGGCTACTGCACATAGCCCAGGTCAGAGACAAGAAAAGAAAGTTGATGGTATGAAAACTATCTGACCTGAAGCTCAGAGGGACCAAAAGAGTTTTTGCAAATATGGATAGCCTGCATTCCATTAAAAAGAAGAGATGTTCAAGATATATATGGAGTCGAAAAGATGCTGGCTTTTCTAATGTTTATTTCTTCATTGTCAAATTTTTATTTTATTCTTCTAATTGCCAAGAAACGTATTTATTTCTAGGCTGATCCTCTGATTAGTTTCCACCCATTGCTTCTTGCTCTGACTTCAGGTGCTTTGAAGAATAGGTTGACCCACTGTCCTCTCTTAGAGGTGCTAAACTATGATTCCCAGAATTCTCACTCAGAGTGAGCAAAGCCATCTGGCCGTGAACGTAAAGCAAAACAAAGGGCAAGACCATTTTAGAATTGAACATTTTATTTAGGAAATACCCAGTGCCTTTTGCTGTCAATATGTTGACTTTGTTCAACATTACCCCTGCAAAATAATGTAGCATGGTGAAACATTTTTTTTTTGGTGGGTGGGGGGTGGAATCTTATAAGGAATTAGAGATGATGAGCAGATATTGTCAAATGTTATGCATTTTCTCTTTTAAAAAGAGAAGAATTTTGACTTTGGGGCTAATATAACTTCTGTTCAACTTTCTAGTCGTTCCTTGGCTGAACAGAGGGAGACTGGAAGATGTTAAGTTCGCAGTGAGATCTGCATTTCTAAAAGCAGAAAGGCACAAATACAAAGCCTCTTTCATGTAACAACAACAACGGGTGATCACAACACTTGGCCAAGACTGTAACGTATCAGGGTAAAAATCCTTTTTGGATTCAAGGTTTGAATTCAGATTTGGAAAAGGGTTTTTTTTTTTTTGCATTAACTGGGCAGCTTCTCTCTGCTCTCTGGCACAGCTGGCCTACACCTTGAAGTGATGTACTTTTCCTGGACAAAGTTTTGTAGCGTGTGTGTGATCATGTGATATCTCTGTTGGAGCTTCTCTTTTGGCCACAGGAGCTACAGCCACAGGAACTGCCACATGCTCGTGAGAATGAGACTCGTGTGAGGCACTTGTATGATTGTGCGAATGAACGAGGTCCAGGACAGTATTATTGTGTCCTGGAGAAGCAATATTTTTTCCATAGTGATGCTCAATCAAATGGGTGTGAGAATGTCCCTCCTGGAAAAAAAACACAACAACATGAAAACATGGATGAGTCTTCTTTGGCCATTGAACTATGAATTGTGGAGGCGCAGTGGTTAGAGTGCACTACTGCAGGCTACTTCTGCTGCCTGCCGGCTGACTGCAGTTTAGCAGTTTGAATCCTACCAGGCTCAAGATTGACTCAGCTTTCCATCCTTCCAAGATTGGCAAAATGAGGACCCAGATTGTTGGGGGAAAATATGCTGACTCTGTAAACTGCTTAGAGAGGGCTGTGAAGCACTGTAAAGTGGTATATAACTCTAAGTGCTATTGCAACTGTGGCAAGAAAGGTATAAAATGGGGGAAAACTCACTTAACAACAGGCTTGCTTTGCAATGGAAATTTGGGGTTGTAAATTGAGGATTACATGTAATCTGGCAGTTGGTGAATGTTGGAGCAGAAATCAAATGAATAAAATTGAATAATTGCAGTAATTCCTTCAGTTAATAGAGTGTCATTCTTCTTTTTTTTACTATTGTAACACATACCATGGCAATTAAGGGGCTAGAGTTGGACTGGGGAGATCTAGATTCAAACCCTTTCTAGCTAGATAAATTTCTGGGTAGCTCTGAGCCGGTTATTCTGTCTCAGAAAGTGTCATGGTGAGGATAAAATAATAATAATCTCAGAGAAAAGGAAGTATATAAATAAAATAATCTATGGTTTGCAAGTCATAAAGGCTGCATTATGCTAAGCCAAGATCAAACAAACTCTATGACATATCAGATCATTTATTCATGTGAAGGGATACAGGGGAATCTATCGCTGGAACAAGAAGTCAATTTTGAGTCCCTTGGATGGACAGAATGTATAAGAGAAACCAGAGAATTCTGGGAGTTGGAAGTCTACGTATCTTAAGTTGATGAGGATGAGGGAAAGAGGATGAACAAAATTGCATTTAATGTACATACCTTGACATCAAAGATGACACAGTCTGACTCATACTGTTCATCTTTAGGTTTTTCAAGGGTAGCATGCGATCTAAAAACAGTTGCTCTGCAGAATCCAATATGCTGGAGAGAAGGAGGGAGAGAAAGAAGAATTAAGATACTAGTGAATTAAATAATTCAGTCAGATTACAACCCAATTTGTAGGGTACTCGGCATCATATTCTTCTTCAGATGTTAACAGACTGACAGAGTTGGAAGGGACCTTGTAGGTCATCTAGTCCAACCCCGCACCCAAGCAGGAGATCTACACCATTTCTGACAAATGGCAGTCCAGTCTCTTCTTGAAAGCCTCTGGTGATGAAGCTCCCACAACTTCTGAAGGCAACTTCTGTTCCATTGGTTGATTGTTCTCATTGTCAGGAAATTTCTCCTTATTTCTAGGTTTAATCTCTCCTTGATCAGTTTCCATCCATTATTTTTTGTCTGGCCTTCGGATGCCTTGGAAAATAGCTTGACCCCTTCTGTGGCAGTCCCTCAAATACTGGAACCCTGCTATCATGTCTCCCCTGGTCCTTCTCTTCACTAGACTAGCCATGCCCAGTTCCTGTAACTGTTCATCGTAAGTTTTAGCCTCCTGTCCCCTAATTATCTTGGCTGCTCTTCTCTGCACTTTTTCTAGAGTCTCAACATCTTTTTTATAGTGTGGTGACCAAAACTGCAGTACTCTAGGTGTGATCTTACTAAGGCTTTATAGAGTGGTATTAGTACCTAACTTGATCTGGATTGTATCCCTCTGTTAATGCATCTTAGGATTGCATTGACTTTTTTGGCTGTTGCTGCACACTGCTGGCTCATATTTATCTGGTTGTCCACTAAGACTCCAAGATCCCTCTCAAAGTGACTGCTATTAAGCCTGGTTTCACCCATTCTATATGTGTAATTTTGGTTTTTTTTTAGCTAGGTGTAGGACTTGACTTTTCTCTACATCAAATTTCATATTCTTAGATAGGGCCCAGTGTTCAAATATGTCAAGATCCATCTGGTTCTTGAGCCCATCCTCTAGGGTTTACAAGAAGTTTGGGGATGCATTATTTCTGGATGAATTGTGAAGAAATTGATGTTGCGCAGAGGTTAAAGTGTAGGATTTGGGCAGGTGAGAGCCAGATTCAAGTCTCTATTTCTCTATGGAATATTTGACATTGCATATTTATTTGGAATGTGGTCCTGGTTTGCACAGAGAGAGAGGGAGGGAGGGAGGGAGGGAGAGAGAGAGAGAAAGGAAGAAATGGCAATTGCTCAGATAGGACTGGAGTTGACCCTCATACTTACTGCTTCTCCTGCTGCTTTGGGATGGCAGTCATGATGGTCATCATGAGCTTCCTGAGCAGAGCAGTTGGTCTCCACAATAGCAAACTCCACGTAGAAAGCTTCAGGCTCATACTGAAATCAAAGTAAGAGATGTTTCAGCTGGGTTGTGGGTAGAAGTGGCGAAATTGAAGAGCTGGGGGAATGAAATTTTAGTCCTGTCTGCTGCATATCCCCACCATCACCCGTGGTCACCTGTTCCTACTGAAATTTTCCAGCTCCCTTTGGCAGAGGGAGAGGTAATTTGTGATCCCCAGAGCCCCTAAGAAATAAGGATTTCTTAGCTTTTACATGACTGTTTCATTGCTTCTGTTTTAGAATAGTTAGAATAGAACAGAGTTGGAAGGGACATTGGAGGTCTTCTAGTCCAGTTCCCTGCTCAAGCAGGAGACCCTATACCATTTCAGAAAAGTGGCTGTCCAGTCTCTTTTAAAAACCTCCAGTGATGAAGCGCCCATGATTTCTGAAGGCAAAGCTGTTCCCCTAGTTAATTGTCCTCACTATTAGGAAGTTTCTCCTTAATTCCAGGTTGCTTCTTTCTTTGCTTAGTTTCCAACCATTGGGGTTTTTTTGTGACCTTTGGTGCTTTGGAGAACAATTTGACCCCCTCTTCCATTATTTATTTAGTTTAGTTTGTCAAGCATGTATGAGAAAACAAGTATGTATGAACATAACATATAAACATATAAGTATAAACAGGTATAAGTATATACATAATAAATTAGTACGAATAAATGGGAATAGTAGGACAGGGATGGGAGGCACGCTGGTGCTCTTACAGACCTCTTAGGAATGGAGTGAGGTCCATGGTTCAAGGTTAAAGTTTTGGGGGTTTGAGAATGTAACAACAGAGTCAGGTAGTGAGTTCCAGGCAGTGACCACTGTTAGGAAGTTACTCCTTAATTCCAGGTTGCTTCTCTCTTTGATTAGTTTCCAACCATTGTTTCTTGTCCTGCCCTCTGGTGCTTTGGAAAATAATTGGACCCCCTCAAATATTGGATCACTGCTATCACATCACCCCTAATTATTCTTTTGTTTAGCCTAGCCAAACCCCAAACCTGCAGCTGTTCTTCATATGGTATTTTACTTGGTGTCTGTTTCTAAGTTTCACTTGGCTGGGTATTGGCTGTAATTATATTTTATAAATAAAATCTTTGTGGGGGTGCTCTCTGATCTCAGTTGTTTTCTTGCAGACATTTTATTACCCAAACTAGATAACATCATCGGTGCTAGTCTATCATCAGTCTAACACAGTGGTGGGATTCATTTTTTTTTTTTACTACTAGTTCTGTGGGCATGGCTTGGTGGGTGTGGCTTGGTGGGCATGGCAGGGGAAGGATACTGTACATTCCCACACCACTCCAGGGGAATGATACTGCAAAATCCCATTCCCTCCCCACCCCACTAACCTGCTTTCCAGCTCCGTTCTCCTGTGCAGGGCAACCAAAGAAGACCCAGCCGATCAGCTGGGACTCGGGAGGCAGAGAATAGATGGGGGCGGAGCCAGTCAGAGGTGGTATTTGTTGGTTCTCTGAACTACTCACAATTTCCGCTACCGGTTCTCCAGAACTGGTCAGAACCTGCTGAATACCCTCTGGTCTATCACTGATGATGTTACCTAGTTTGGTTAATGAAATGTCTTGCAAGAAAATAACCGAGCTCAGAGAACACCAAGGACTGCTCATTTCAATCCTGAGTTACCAATATTCTCCCTTGTTGCTATCTGGTTCTTTTCCTAGATTTTTGCAGAGCATAATTCCCCTCGCTTTCTCCTGCTTTCTCTTAGTTATATGAAGCATCAAAGCATTAAACTGGAAGAGGCAATCAGAATTCCCTTTTAAGATTTGCATACTAACTTTGTGCTGTCCTCTTGAAATCTCAAGGACTTCATAAGCATGGTTAGGATATTTTTCATTGTGTTTATGGAGCACGTATTCAACAGATTGTACCACATGAGGGTCATTCAGAGGTATCAGAATTGGACATTTCGGACAATTTCGCCGCACGTCTTCCACAGAATCTGAAAAGACAAAAAAAAAAAAAAAAAAAAGGCCAAGAAGGGCTTTTAAAGCAGGTGGCAGTCTTAGCTGAGAACTGCTGCAAAAAAAGCAGGACATCCTGTACCATTTCAGACAAATGGTTGTCTGGTTTCTTCTTAAAACTTTCTGGAGGCAAGTCCTTCCACTGGTTAATTATCCTAACTGTCAGGAAATTTCAGGCAGGAGGTTTAAAAAAATTGTCGGAGAGCAGGTTAAAATTATGGCTTTTGCAATGGGGGACCATAAGTACAGGCAGTCCTCGAGTTATGACCACAATTGAGCTCAACATTTCTGTTGCCAAGTGAAACACTTGTTAAGTGAGTTTGCTCCATTTTATGACCTGTCTTGCCACAAGTGTTAAGTGAATCACTGCAGTTCTTTAATTAGTCACACTGTTTTAAGTGAATCCCCACTGACTTGGCTTGCCAGAAGGTCACAAAAGAGAATCACGTGATCCTGGGACACTGCAATAGTCATAAATCTGAGTCAATGTCTCAATTACAACCATTCACTGAGTGTCCGTTCAAAGCTACAACGGCACTGAAAAAAGTGACTTAGGACTGTTTTCCACACTTATGGCTGTTGCAGCATCCCCGTGGTGACGTGATCACAATTCAGACCCTTGGCAACTGGCTCATGTTTATGACGGTTGCATTGTCCTGGGATCAGGTGATCCCCTTTTGTGTCCTTCTGACATAGTCCATGGGGAAGCCAGATTCACTTAACAACCGTGTTACTAGCTTAACACCTGCAGTGATTCACTAAACAACTGTATCAAGAAAGATTATAAAATGGAGCAAAACTCACTTAGCAACTGTCCTTCTTACCAATAAAAAGTTTGGGCTCAATTATGGTCATTAAGTTGAGGACTGTAGTTACGTCTAGACATGCATTCCAAACTATGGTCAGATACACCATCCCAATCCATCCAGTAGTTTGTTTAATGGGGCAGAAAAGAAGAGGGATCACCTGGTGTCCTACTTTCTGTCCCTATTCTGCTATTGCTACGTACATAAACGGGTTCAAGCTGGAATAATGAAAGGCCACTCCATTTGGAAATGTCATGTTAAATACCCAGAATGTCATTTCCAGTGGATCTATAAAAATCATTTTTGATATATAAATATAGAGATACATAAATCATATAGATGAGGGATGGGTGTTGATCGATCTCTTTCTCTCTCTGTTTCCGCCTTGCTTTGTCTGTCTTTTTCCTCTCATTTTGTAGTTAAATGTTTTGATGTTTGCTAATGTTCAATAGACATTGAGCCATAGTTTTTCCTTGTTGATCTGAATAATGATTGTTCCTGTTCTAGGTAATAAGATTGATTGGGAATTGCCCTAAATGCAAATTAAATTGGAAATTTTCCATAGCAATTTTCCAATAACCAGGAAGTACCAACCACAGAGTTAATTCTCCTGCACTTTCATTTCCTGGACGGGACAGCTTAGGTTTTGATTGGCTGGGATGGAAGGGAGGGAGGGATGTCAAATGCTTTATTAAGGTTGTGTAAGTTCTTCCAGTCCATATCCAAACATCAAATTCATTTGAACAGTCAGTTTGATTCAAATCCATCATTTGAATGGATAGAAAACAGCATTTTAATCAGATTGGGGGGGGGGATGGTTTTGTAGATGCAAAATAAATGGTTTGGAAGCATCCAATTCAGTAATCCATTCCAGCTCATTAGATTGACTTATATTGACTAGAATGGCCTTTCAACTGAATTAAAACAATGCACAGTTAGCTTTGGTGAAACATCTCAGGACCCTAAGATGCTGCTAAATTTTAAAGAAAGGCTGGGTTAGTAACTCACTGTTAATAAAATAGGACAAGAAGAAACAAGATGCCAGTTGTTAGCTCAGTGACACGTCAGTTTCTTGAATCCAGCCCAGCTAAGAATCCAAGAGGGACGAAGACCAATTACCTGGATCTGAGTGGCATTTCGAAGCAACCACTTTGTTGATGCCCTCATCACTGAGCAGCTTGACATCACAGTCTCCTTTAACAGCCTGGAGATACAAAGGCATCAAATTAAATATGATAAACTTTAACTTAACATGATTTAATAAACCATTTTGGGTTAGTCCTTTAAAGCTGGTGTTTCTGCGCGATTTATAGCATTAGTAGGATTTATTATGGTCCATTACAGCATATTCCACGTTCTTAACAGGTAGGAGATTATAAAAATGAGCACAGTGCACTAGTAACTTGGCTAGACTAATTTGTGAGGCAGCATCATTATGGTAGCTAGTGCACTGTGGTGGAATGTACTCTGGATTCCCAGGTGAGAGGCATTGCATTCCAGATAAGCAAGAGACAGTTTAGATGGTTTGGTTGGGAAGAAATAGGTCAAGACAGCTCCTCCCTAGAAGTTATCAGACTACTGTATACATTTAATGATCAAGTAGTATGCTTTAGTTGGGCATGATTTCTCTCTATAGGTAAGGAACAATAAAGGAAAATTGCTTTGCCCTAACTTAGCGGCTCTTTCTTGGTTTTGAACATGACATTCATACTTGCTTCAAAACTATCTTATTGGTGTCTTTGCTGAAATATTTGCAGGTGTTGTAATATGAGAACTTCTACTTAACCTCTAAACCCAGGGCATCCAACCTTGGACATAGCTGTCTGGGTAATTCTGGAAGTTGAAGTCCACAGATCTTAAAGTTGTTGTGGTTGGATACCTTCTGTTTTAAGCAGAGGAGCAATAAGGCACTTTTCATGGAATCTGGCATGGGAACAATTCAGCTTTGGACATCACGGGGTGAATGTGAAAGAAGAATTGACTTCTTAATTCCTGACTAATTCATTGCTCAGAGTTGAAATGAAATCTGGCGATGTAACATGAACTCAAAATGAATGCCCATAGAATAGGTTAGCGACTGCTGAGGTTTCATTAACCCTGGGATCTCAGAATGGCTGGCTGAGGAATTCTGGGAGTTGAAGTCCACAAGTCTTAAAGTTGCCATGTTTGGAGACCTCTGCATTAACCCTTTGTTCACCAATATATCAGTTTTGTGTGTGTTCAGAAACTGAATTTACTCTTGATGGAGTGGTAAGAAGCTACCTGTCCTCTCACAAAGTCTTACATTTTCAAGAACCTTCAGACACTTACATGGTAATGCTCTGGTCTTACAGTACAATTCTCGACAGGAGTTGGATCCAACACGTGACACACTGTCTCCAGAACATCCAGCTCAAGGAAGATTACCCTCCCACGGGGTCTCTAAAATGAAAAATTAGTATGTGAATGACTTTCTCCCGACACATTTCTGTCTCTGTTGCATCAACTGACTCTTGGAAATGTTTGAATTGACACACAAGTTAAAGATCTTGTCCTGATGCACTTCTCAACGGCTTTAAAGAAAATATACCAAAATGTCAATGCTGCCTTAAATTAAACACAGTTCTTTTGGAGGTTGCAAGGCAGGAATGGACAAGGCTGACATGTCCTGACATAAACACCTGAGGTTTTCTTGCAGGCCTCAGTTGATTTCCCAGTTGTTGGTTTTTGCCAGGTCTGGGTGGAAGAAATTACCTCTTTCTGACATTGCATGGTTCACATGTGTGCATATTGTCTATTCAACACCAACATATTGGCTCTAAACAATGGGGTCGGGTAGTTCCGGCCTGTCTACCTACAGATACTTAGGGCAATTGTTTGGGACAGGGGTCTAATAAAGATCAGACTGTTCAGAGAGAGCTAATATTTTTCTCAGTTGAAGCATTCAACTGAGAAACATTTAACCCACTTGGCAGAATGAGCCATTTCCTGGATTTCCATCACACACTGAACCATTAAATAACCCGAGGGGCTGAATTGACACAACCAATCTAACCAGTGCTCACACCAAGTTCTGAATCACAAAAACATGCTCTGTGCTGGTTAAACATGTTGTGTATATGGTGCAGATCATGAAATGATAACTCTCCTTTTCTAAGGATCTGACAGCTAAAGAAGCAGCAGTCAGAAGTATAAGCATTCACTGGGATGGAGTGGGGGCATTGTGTGCAACTATCAACAATGGTGGACACCCATTGTCCACACATGTCAATTCAACTGAAATGGAAGCTATGAGATTACAGAACATTGACTAGAAAGAGGCCGTAAATCGCCCAAATCTCAGCAGGAGAGCTACTGAAATTGACTGACACAACACCCCCCCCCCCCCCCCCCCGCAATAACTTGTTATTGATTTAGTAAATGAAACTAGGAAATTTTTTCCTCCCATTGTACTTACCCGGGGCAGGACATGAACATCCTTGATTACATTGAGAGCTTGTTTGTATCCGTGTAGATTATGCTCGTTGATGTAGTGCACGGCCAGTTCTGCTAATTTTTCAGCTTCTTCGCCATTGCAATCAAGTTGTGTAAACAAGTGATGGCTAAACGTGCATCCTATAATCTGGCCCAGGAGTACGAGAGTTACCA